GCCAACCCCCCCCCCCAAACCCAATCAACAAACAATTTAAACATATAAATAAATAAACAAACAAACAAACAAACAAACAGAAGGATAGACAACAACAAAACAGGATACGGGGTAAGTGAATATCTTTTAAAAATAATTTAAAGAGAAAACTTATATTAAAACTTATATAAACACTGATATAAATATCAAACAAGTTAAAAAGTTTAAATATCAAGGACCTAAAGGTATGATGGCAAATGTACCAGAGAAATAACGAAGCATTGCGCAATAGCTAAAGATAGTTAATAAAGTAAGATGAGTGCAACTTTGAAAAAACAGAAACATGCAAATAACATCAATAAGTGAATAAATAAATTAATGAATAAATAAAGAAGAAAAATGTATAAAAATAAATAAACAAATAAACAAATAAACAAATAGGCTAAACAAATAAATAAACACATTTTAATCATTTCAAAGCCTGTGTGTATTCAACACTAGGCTATGAATTCCGGACAGTCCTAAAGATTGTAAAAATACAGGAGGCGACCTCAGTTCTTAATCTTAACCCAAGAACACCTTACTGAGTGAATGATTTTGTTCTTGAACGGAAATTTTACCATAATACTAATATAATCATTATTATGGTCTATTCACGTCACCTATCTGATCACATTCACTCAGTAAGGTGTTCTTGGGTTCTTAATCTTATCTTAGCCTATGCCAGATATGTCTTCTGTTTCCTGCGGGGGCAAAATGCTCAAGGTCTTTAAACCGTAGGCCTATATCTATGCCTTCTCAGTCTAAGAAAGCCTAGGCCTATATTTAAAATATGTCGATTCAAGAGTCGTAGAAACTAAAAAACCCATAATTTTGTTAATGACAGTCCCACACAGGCTAAATTATTCTTTCTGCACGATCTCACCATACGAATTTCTTTTTCTCTCTTGAAATTCTCAACTGTCATCTAAGATACCATAGGCACTAACTGAGGTCGCCTCCTGTATTTTTACAATCTTTAGGACTGCCCGGAATTCATAGCCTAGTGTTGAATACACACAGGCTTTGAAATGATTAAAATGTGTTTATTTATTTGTTTAGCCTATTTGTTTATTTGTTTATTTGTTTATTTATTTTTATACATTTTTCTTCTTTATTTATTCATTAATTTATTTATTCACTTATTGATGTTATTTGCATGTTTCTGTTTTTTCAAAGTTGCACTCATCTTACTTTATTAACTATCTTTAGCTATTGCGCAATGCTTCGTTATTTCTCTGGTACATTTGCCATCATACCTTTAGGTCCTTGATATTTAAACTTTTTAACTTGTTTGATATTTATATCAGTGTTTATATAAGTTTTAATATAAGTTTTCTCTTTAAATTATTTTTAAAAGATATTCACTTACCCCGTATCCTGTTTTGTTGTTGTCTATCCTTCTGTTTGTTTGTTTGTTTGTTTGTTTATTTATTTATATATTTAAAAATGTTTGTTGATTGGGTTTGCTGGGGGGGGGGGGTTGGCGGTGGGGGCTAATTGTTACTTTAGATTTTCTCCGTTGAGCCAAGTGGGAAATTCGTGTAAAGTGCCTTAAAAATTTCCCAAGAACACAATGTCGGACCAAGCTAAACAGGCTCGAATCCTCGAATCCGAAATCTCACGATTACGAGTCCGGCAGCCTAACCACTACGCTACCAACACAAAGAGAGAAGAAACCAATATATTATGTACTTCACAAGGACTTCGATCTAGCTTTTGAGTATGTATTAGCATTAGCTAGAGCAGGGATGTGCAGTATTACATTTTTCAATGGAGGGGCACTACTTTCGAACACTGGAATGACTAAGGCCACTCATATGGGAAAAAAAGAACCCAAAAAGAAACAAACAACCCAAACGATGTGATCATTATTATTATTACGATTAGTAATGTATTTTGTACTGAGATATAAAAACGGTTAAGAGGGCCACACTAACTGGCCTACTGATGGTGGTGGTGGTAGTGGTAGTGGTAATGGAAGTGAGTGGCAGTGATAGTGATGGTAGTAGTGGTAGTGGTAGTGATAGTGGCAGTGGTAGTGATAGTGGTAGTGGTAGTGGCAATGGTAGTGACGGTGGTAGTGGTGGTGGTGGTAGTGGTAGTAGTAGTAGTAGTAGTAGTAGTAGTAGTAGTAGTAGTAGTAGTAGTAGTAGTAGTTACTCTCTCTCTCTCTCTCTCTCTCTCTTTCGTTCCTCTCTCTCTCTCTCTCTCTCTCTCTCTCTCTCTCTCTCTCTCTCTCTCACACGCATACAGACTGATAAATTATCTCTCACTTACTGCGTCTCGATAATTGTAATGCTGATGTCAGAGAGTGGCTCTGGTCTTTTAACGATATTTCCAGAGACATAGGGAGAGAGAGAGAGAGAGAGAGAGAGAGAGAGAGAGAGAGAGAGAGAGAGAGAGAGAGAGACAACAGACAGAGAGAGAGCCAGAGAGAGATTGAGAGAGAGAGAGAGAGAGAGAGAGAGAGAGAGAGAGCGAGAGAGAGAGCGAGACAGAGACAGGAAGAGAGAGAGAGTTGCTTCTAAGTCTCCCCGCAAAAACCCGCTAGCCGCACCTTTAAACACAGATCCCCGGAATGTTTTTGCCACTCTTTCAGCGTCGAGAAAGGAATCATGGA